CAGGATTTTCCCTCCAGGAACTGCTCCCAAAATCCCCCCAAATCCCATCCATGGCTCCAGTTAATTCCCAAGGAATTCCAAACTTCCACTCCAGCCCCTGAAGGCCTCGATTCCCGACGGATTCCCAAAGAAACGCCCCCCCCTGTGGATAATCCCGGGATGGCAAGAGGAGCAACGGCCCTGCCACAATTTGGGAATGAGGGCCTGGAATGCCCCCAAATCCCTGGAGAAATTCCCAGGGCTGCTCCGAGGCGGGAATTCCCGAGGCCCGCCCGGATCCCGGCCCTGGATTCCCCCAAAGCCCCTTTTCCAAGGCTGGGCTGGGCTTCCCAAAGTTTTCCAGAGGGGGATAATCAGCCCCAGTCGGGAGAACTGGCTCAGGCACAGGAGGAGAAGCCATGAGGAGCCCCTCCGGATCCATCCCGAGCCTCTGGATCCATCCCGAGCCTCTGGATCCATCCCAAGCTTCTCCAGATCCATCCTGAGCCTCTGGATCCATCCTGAGCCTCTGGATCCATCCCGAGCCTCTGGATCCATCCTGAGCTTCTCCAGATCCATCCTGAGCCCCTCTGGATCCATCCTGAGCTTCTCCAGATCCATCCCAACCATCTCCAGATCCCTCCTGAGCTTCCCTGGATCCATCCTGACCCTCTGGATTAATCTCAAGCCCCTCTGGATCCATCCTGACCCTCTGGATCCATCCTGAGCTCCTCCAGATCCATCCCAAGCCCCTCTGGATCCATCCTGAGCTTCCCTGGATCCATCCTGACCCTCTGGATCCATCTCAAGCCCCCCTGGATCCATCCTGAGCTCCTCCAGATCCATCCCGAGCTCCTCCAGATCCATCCTGATCCTCTGGATCCACCTCAAGCCCCTCTGGATCCATCCTGACCCTCCCCTGGACCCATCCCAATCCTCTCCAGATCCACCCCGACCCCCTGGATCCATCCCAAGCCACTCCAGTCCATCCCAACCACCTCCAGATCCATCCTGAGCCTCTGGATCCATCCCAACCATCTCCAGATCTATCCCAACCCTCTCTGGATCCATCCCAACCATCTCCAGATCTATCCCAATCCCCTCCAGATCCATCCTGACCCTCTCCTGGATCCATCCTGAGCCTCTGGACCCATCCCAATCCTCTCCAGATCCATCCCAACCCTCTGGATCCGTCCCAACCATCTCCAGATCCATCCCAATCCTCTCCAGATCCATCCTGACCCTCTGGATCCATCCCAATGCTCTCCAGCTCCATCCTGAGCCCCCCGGGATCCATCCTGAGCTTCCCTGGATCCATCCTGACCCCCTGGATCCATCCTGAGCCTCCCGGGATCCATCCTGAGCTTCTCCAGATCCATCCCAACCCTCTGGATCCATCCCAACCATCCCCAGATCCATCCCAACCCTCTGGATCCACCCCAACCCTCTGGATCCACCCCAACCCTCTCCAGATCCATCCCAGCCCTCTGGATCCATCCCAACCCTCTGGATCCATCCCAACCCTCTGGATCCATCCCAACCATCTCCAGATCCATCCCAACCATCCCCAGATCCATCTCAACCCTCTGGATCCATCCCAACCCTCTCCAGATCCATCCCAACCCTCTGGATCCATCCCAACCCTCTCCAGATCCATCCCAACCCTCTGGATCCATCCCAACCCTCTCCAGATCCATCCCAACCCTCTGGATCCATCCCAACCCCCTCTG